AAGACAGAAAGTAATGGCACTAGTAATAAGGAAGGAGAGAGCGCCTGCAAGCAAAAACAAACACCTACACATAGCAATGTAAGTCTTCTTTCCTTATTATTATTTTTCCGATTCCTTCTGGTTTGTTGTTCTTCGCGTCAATGGACACTTCCTTGTTGAGTTGTTTTTTTTTTCTTCCTTCTAGGGGTGGACTTCTTTATTTGGGTTCGCTGGATGCATTACGGTTTGTTTGCTGTCGGGCTCACGTGCCCCTCCGCCACGCGTGAGCGGTTGCCGGATGCTTCTTTTTCCTCTTCCTGAGACGTGGCTGCCGTTTCCCTCGCTCCATCTGTTGTCTGCGCGTAAGTGCCTGTGAGGGGCTGGAAAGGGAAGCAACGAAGGAAGGGACGCGAAGGCCACGCGAGAGTTGGGACCCGCGGGGCCGATGGCAACGCGACTCTTGCCGTCACCGTCGCCGTTGGTGCGACGGCAGCGAGCCAATCCCGCCGCCGCGCTCTTCGCCCGGTGCGGAGCTTTGGTGGCCACTGCTCGCTCTTACTTTTGGCCCTTCAATGAAGACTTTGTGCCGAGAGGGGCGGCAACAAGTGGCTTTCAGTCGAGCGCCTCCCCGAACATGCGGCAGCGGGTACTGCAGGAGTACGCGCTGAGTCCTCTCTTCGGGGCGCGCGTGCCGTGCTGTACGCTGGGAAGCATGCGGTCCGCGCGGGAGATGGTTGGGGTGAAGAAGGAGGTTGCCCTGCTGTTGTGCGAGCTTGCACGACTGCGGGCGGGCGCCGTCAGCCTCGGCCCGCTGGTGCAGACGACGGAGATGATGCTCTTTAAGCCCGACACTCCGTTGAGTCCGCGCCTCGGAGACGATCGAAGCCGCAGGATGCACACGTACGCTCGGAAGCCCATCGCGGCGCGAACACTGATGGATGTGTTTTTGCCGGAGGAAATTGCGCTGGACGAGGTGGTGGCGATTGGGCGCCTCGTGCAGGAGAAGCTGCTGCTCGCGCGGCGTGACGCAGACGGCGGTGACGCTGAGAGAGGCGGCGGTGCTGGTTGTGGTGTCGCCGGTGGAATGCAAGAGGCCCAGGTGCTTGTGGGCCGCATGGGCATTGTCTACTGCGAGCTCCCACCGCTCGACGAGGGCGGGTTTATGTTCGATGCGGTGGGCGGGGTCAGCCTCGACGCAGATGAGGCGGAGCGTGTGGTGCAGCGGTGGCACGAGCGGGGCGAGTCGCAGGCACGCCAGTCTCCCCCCACGTGAAGTGCGAGGAAGCCGAGGCAAGGGCACGAAGGTGATTTAAAAAAAAAAATCAACGTTCTGGGCAGGAAGGAAGGCTGGGCATCCACGCCACCTCACGCCGGCTCCTTTTCTGCTTATTGCGGGAAACGGTGGGGGTGGGGCAGATGCTTTGTGCGTCTTTTGTTTGTGTGTTTGTTTTCTCGCGTCTCTTCTTAGCTTGGCCTGCACGCGCCAAGAAGCGCGAAGCGAAAAAGGAAGGGTAATTTTGTAGTCCGTGGGGGAGTTGGTGTGTGCACGGCAAGCAGCGTACGAGCCAAAGGAGCACGCGCATGGCGGGCCCACTCCCTGCGCCGCCAGCCCTGCCGCTGCTGCGGCTGCTCACCGTGTGCGTCGTCGTCGCTGCGGTCGCCGCGTTGCCCATGGCGGCGGAGGGGTTTCGCTTCACTGCTCGTCCCGGGCGAAAGTGCTTCACGGAGGACCTGCCGGAGGCGGGCCGCTATGAGCTCCACTACAAAATGACCCGCAGCCTGACGCCGTTTGTCTCCGTCGGCGTCTCGGCCCCCGGCGGGCGGGTTATCGTGGAGCACGCCACGGCGCAGGCCGACGCGAAGGAGATCTTCGCGGTGGAGCGCAAAGGGGAGATCGCGGTCTGCTTCAACGTCGCGGAGAAGGCGCGGTACAGCGCCACCTCGTTTAACGTGACGCTGGAGGTGACGGACGCCGAGGACGCCGAGCTGACGCGGCAGAAGCGGCAGACGTACAGCACCTCAAGCGCCATCGCCGTCGGCGTCGGCAAAGCCAGCGGGGCGCTGCAGCAAATGGATTACATCTTCCGCACGGCGCTGCGCATCCGCTTCGCCGTCACGAGCCTGATGGCGGCCGATGCGGACATACGCTACTCACTTAAGGAGATGAACGAAGTTGCGTGGAACTACGTGTATGTGTTCGCCGCCATGGCGACGCTGATATCGCTCGCGACTTACTTCCGCCTGCGTCAGTACTTTCAGTTACGGAAGTATATTTAAGATGGATGCGTGCACACAAACAGAAGACATGTTTTGCACACATGGATCCAGCCATGCTTGTGCCTTGGACCCAGCTGTGAGGAGGGGGGCAAAGTGCGAGGAGTGTGAGTGCAGAATTGTGGTCCCACGCTGTTGTGTTGGACAAACACGCAAGCAACTCTCAGAATCAGTTCCATTGGCGCTGGTGGAATATATTTTTTTTTGCTTACAAAGCATCTCTGCCTATAGGGAAGGAATGTGACACGCACACACAAAAGCAGGCAGCGAGCAAAAGTTAGAGGATGCCTCTCTCAGGTGGAAGTGGGGCGGAGTTGTTCGTGGCGAGTCTTGAGGATCGACGTTGATGTGAAATGTTTTACTTTTTTTTTTGCGTGTTTGCTACTTTTGTGATTAGACTTTTGTTGATTGTTGTTGCTGCCGTTTTGGGCCCTCGCCGCAACAGGCACCGCCTCAGGGCGAGCATCAAACTAACAGCTGCCGTGCGCAGGCACGTCTCGCCCCGTTGCGGCGGGCTCTGTGGCAACTGCCGTGCTGCATGGGTGCGGCCCCTTTTTTTTTCTTTTCGTTCACTTTTCCCTTTTTTTTTTCTTTGTTTCTTCTTCCATGTGTGGATGCGTGCGTCTGTGCCCGCCCCAGTCCTACTCGCGCCCCGCACGCGCACCGAAAGCCAAACGCGGAGCGTCGGGGTCGGAGAGTCGCGCGGACGCAGCAGAGTGCAGGTTGCGGAATACAACGGCCATATAAAAGGGCCTGAATACTTTTTTTTACTATAAACACTTAAATATATATATTACCCGCACCTACGCGTAGTAGCGGCGCAATGGGGCAGCCGTCATGGATGCCCGCCTCTGTTATCGTGCTCAGTCTGCTGGCGGCGCTGTTGTTGATTTATTTTGTAGTGGGAACTATCGTGCGGTACCACAAGGGCATACGTCACTGTCCGGAGGTGCTACCAAACTACCGTTGCTGGTGCGGTATTGTGCAGGGCTTCTTAGTGGTCATTACATGCGGTCGCTATAAGCCGCGTTTCCCTCTTCGTGCGGATGCGTGTAGCCACGGCGGCAGGGGTGGGGCCGGGCACAACTCCATCCTGCCTAGCCGACCGCAGCGGGCCCGCCACCTCGCGTTTGAGGCGCTGCAGAGCGACGGTGACGACGACTACGTCTGGGAGGCGGGGCTCGCCACGCATCCCCCGGCCGCGGTGACGGTTCACTCCTCCACCAAGGGCGGTGAGGCCAACGCCGCATGACTGACGCAGAAGGAAGCAAAACAAAAACAAAAATCGCAGGCGGGAGCGTGCTACTTCGCCGGTTGTGGCTATTAACGCGAAGCTGAACTGCCCGTTCGCCGTCTCACACACATTTACACACGGCGTCAGCAGTCGGCAATGAACCCGACAAACAATCCCCTTTCTTTCAGGGGGAGATATTAGTCATCTTTTTCTTGTTCGCGCCGTAAGAAGGCTCTGCCTTCCACGAAAGGGATCATGCATAAACGCAGTCCGCGAAGAGTGGCGTTGGGAAGGAGCAAGCATGAGAAATAATGTGTGTGTATATATATATATATATACATATATGTCAACGGTAATGCGACTGCAGCAGACACCTGTAAGTACATCTCACATGAGTGTTGTGTGTGTGTGTGTGTGTGTGTGGAGAAGCCACTGGAGAGTATCTGCGTGAGAAACTGCTTCTGAGAGCAGACAGAGTGTGAAGAGGAAGTAATCAAAGGGCGTGGAGGGGATGCACGCAGGTGTGTTTAAATTGGTGGTACTTGTGTGCTTCTACATGGAGTGGGAGAGGCCAGCTGCGGCCTTACTTCCTTCCTGGTAGTGCCGCTTCGGTTTTTCTTTTCCTTCTGTCTGCGTCCTCGCCTGCTTTGCAATTAGTTAGTACGCCAGTCGCTGAGCAACCGACGCGAGATGCGCCTTGCGACTCGCTTGAACACGCGACGAAGCGGGGAGAGTTCCGCGCGCTTCTGGGCGGAGTCGTTGGCGGACTCGCAGCGGGCGCAGGCGGCGCTGACGCCAGAGACCGGCGGCGACGTGCCCCCTGACGTCCACCAGCTGCAGCGCTGCGAGGGGGCGGAGCGAGGCCGTAGCGCTGGTCTCTGGCGTCAGGACACCTCCGAGCGGGTAGGCGAAAAGCACGCGCATCAAGAACCCGTGGATGACGAGGAGGAGGGAGGGAATGCCTCGGAACACCGGCCGCAGGACGCGGTGTTGGCAGAGCCCGTCGCGGTACACGAATCCCCGGAAAGGGCAACGAGGCCGACGCCGACGGCAGCCTCGAAGCAGGGAGGAGAGCTCTGCCGCTTCGGCGACCTCCTAGCGGTGGGCGAGCCTCTTCTGCAGGGGTTGTTGGGCCCTGTGGGCATAGACGTGGAACTGAGCGGCGCCACCGCGATGCTGCGTGATCCTGGCGCTTTTGCCGCTGTGATTGATTCCGTGGAGCAGGCCAGTAGCGATAGTTTGCGCGACCTCCACGCCTCCATTCAGCTCTTCTTTATTGTGCGCGGGGAGTCCTTCTACACCCTGGACGCCTCTGTCTGCTCACCGCTGGTGTTTTTGGCCAAGCTCCTCTCCGCCCCTGCCGTGACGAAAATTGTGCTTCGGCCGCGGTATGTGTACCGGCTGCTCTTCCTCTTCCTCGGCACAGACCGCGTGGAGGTGCGCAACCTCGTGGACGTCTCCGTTTGGTCAGCAGTGGTGGAACGCGTGTGTGGGCCACGGCCCCACACGAAGAGCTGTGCCGATTCGCAGAGTCTTTGGCAGCTGCTCCCTGACGCTTCACGGGAGGCCATCGAGGTGCTGCTGGAGCGGGCGAAGCAGGAGAGGTGGTGCGAGGAAACCCTCGAGGCGGAGGAATGTGCAGAAACGGCGACAGCCGCGGAATCAGCAACAACAACAACGGCGCCGTCGGTGTTTGCCCCAGCAAGGAGCGAGATGCCGCTGGCAGACTTGCTGGGACGCTTCAAGTCTTTGGCCACCCTCTATGCCTACTTCGAGGCCTACCTGCGCTCTGTGGAGAGCAGCGGCGCAACGGGCAGCGTTTCATTCTCCCTTGCCGCGGTTTGCAGCCTCGAGACACGTGTCAGTTTTCTTTGCGAAGTCATGTCCTATCATGGCATGTTTGTGCAAAAGGACATGCTGGATTGCATGGTGGCGGACCTTGACGAGCAAGCCAAGGCCCTTGTCGAAGCGGGAAATGCGGCACTGCAGGCCTTGACGGCCGATGGGAGTGGGGAGGAAATAGACATGGCGACTGTGGGAGCGTGGGATCTGCGGAACTTCTTGCAGCGTCGCGGTGTTGCTGGTGCTGACGGTGATGCGCCGGTTGTGGTGGAGGGGAACGCGGTGGAGCAGCTGCAGCGGCTCGCCGCCCTCGCTGATGGGGTGCAGAGTGGCACGGCGGCAAATTTGGCGCACCTCTGGCTGACGCTGCGTGAGCGTCGTGAGCTTAAGCGTTCCATTCTGGAAGGTTTTTCCAAGGGGGCGAGCATGCACGCCCGCCTCATCGCCGTCCCCGAAGAAGGCACGGCACCGAGCGAGCGGGGCGGCGACAGTCACCCCAGTCACGTGACGGGGCAGCACCGCCTCTGTTTCTCTGTGCATCCAACGTGGAGCATTCACCACGCCACCACGGCCCGCCTCTTTTCTTCTCGGCCGTGCCTGCAGACTGTCGCGAAGAACCCGCCGCTTTCACGCACGAAGCCGCCATCCTCATCGGCAGGGACGATTTTCTCCAACCCGCACTGGACGCTGCGGCACTTGTACGGCCCCCCGCCTGGGTGTACCCTTTTGTCTTTTGACTTTAACCAAGTCGAGCTGCGTGTTTTGGCTCACCTCAGCGGTGACCCACTTCTCGTGCAGCAGCTTCGAGGCGGCTCGGATGTCTTGGCGGAAATAGCGCTCCACGTGATGCAGCTGCCGCGGCGGGAGGATGTCACGCCATACTTGCGGCAAGGCACAAAGGTGGTGGTGTACGGTTTGCTGTACGGTATGGGGCCGGAGTCGCTGGATGCGCATCTGCGTCAGCTGCACAAGGAGACGGCGGCGGCGGCTGTGGAGCAGCAGCCGCTCTCTGCACGGCAGTTGTTGTACTCGTTTAATCATTGCTACCCCGCCGTGCAGAGTTTCCTGCGGAGGACGCGACTCTGCGCCTTTCATGAAAAGCGCTGCGTCACGCTGAATGGGGTGCGGGATTTGTCTGCGGAGCCTGACGGCAATAGACGCAAGCAGGCGGCGGTGGCGTCAGCCATTCAAGGCGGCGCCGCCGTCATCCTTCACCACGCCATGGTGGAGGTACATGAGAGACGGCATGAGTTTGTGCCGTACTTCCCCGCAGCAGCTCTCGCGCTTGTGCTAAGCCTGCACGACGAGCTCGTGTACGCCGTCCCCGACAGCGCGGTGAGTATCATGGCGCCGAAGATCAAACACATCCTCGAGCGGCAGTCGGCGGCACTTTCTCTCAGCGTCCCACTGCCCGTCTCGACGAAGGCGGGGAAGTCGTTTGGGGCGCTGCAGCCCCTGGCTGTCTAGCACGCGCCAGATAGATTCTGGAGAGTAGCTCCGGGAGGAGTGGGAGGTTTGGGGGGGGGGGGGCGAGGCCTTCCGTCCGCCCGCGGGAAG